GGGGGGGGTGTTGCTAAGCAACGGAGGCAGTGTATCGTTGGAGGAGTCGGTAGCTGAGTGGTTATGTACTGCTGCAGGCTCTGGTCTCTTAGTGCCCCCCCTCCTCCTGCACCACCACTACTACTTCCACCACCATCATCGCCCCCTCAGCCCCGCTCCTCACCCCCGCCTCTTGCCCTGTACAGCTCTACGGCTACCGTCGCTAGGCAACTGCCTCCGTGCTCTGCCAGCGTGCTCAGTAATTGGCCGGTGGCATGGCGGCGTACCGTTGCCAGATCCAGCCAGCTGCACTGCCTCCTCATGTTTCACCACATACCCCCTACCCACCCCACGTCTCTCTTACACATACACTCACACACAGATACACCCCACCCCCCTTGATCCCATTGCTAGGCAACGGATTCAGGCATTCCTGCCTCCCAGGAATTTCATTGGCCAGAGTCGGATGGGCCAAACCTGCAGCTCTGGGATGGAAGGGGACAAGACTAATTTCAGGATCTCAGGATCTAGACCAAAAGCACTTTAAACTCTACAGTTTTTTGTTAAAGGGACAGTTCACCGCAAAATCAAGTAGTTTTTTTTTACATATATATATATATAGATATACATATAATATATGTTTTGCCTCTGTTCTGCAGTCCTATTTATCAGTCCAGATTGTTTTAGTCTTGCCCAATTGTGGAGCTATTGTGTGTAACTCCTGATCCTATAAACAAAAGAGGTCCAGGAGAGCCAAAAAGGGTTAGGTAGTAAATGAGAATAAACCAAATTGACTGATAGACTCAGCAGACTGATATAAACTTACATTTGAACCACAAATGAAACTGATGGCCTAGAAAGAGTCATCCTGGTGACTTAAATATCCAAAAGAAATACACTGAATAGAATAAATGGCACAGGTATACCAGATCCACTGAAATTAGAACACAGGGAGTTACACCATTTAAGTTTCCTCTAAGCTGATCTGCAATGGAAGCTCGCTGTTGGCAGGGGGGTAATGAAATTAATAAATTATATAAAAATACAAAAAATTGGGTTTATCTAAATATAAAAATATTGTTAATAAATGTTAATAAGTCATGTATGCAAAGTTTCATTGAGATTGGCCAACCCATTAAGGAGGAGATGGGGGTAAATACAGATACATATGCAATGGATACGCTCCCATCATTACAGTCAGATATTCAAATATCAATATCAAACAGCCAAAATCAGCATATAGACATGGTTTATCACTTTAAAAAAATTGAAAAAGAAAGAAATAAAGTACTGATTATTTTAGATCCTGCCTGAAAGACTATGTGGATATCTCCCACATTTGGCTCACAGATGTGGCCCCTCCTTACTTTACACAAGCTCTCATTGCAGTTTTGACAGAGCAGTTGATCTATTGATTTTGTCCCTTTGGATAATCACATTCAATGAATTAAGCCAGTAGTCGTGGTGTAAGCGCTCGAGCAGAGCTGGTCAGCCTCGAGCACCACTCCAGATGGGATGTGACTGATGCAGGTGACATCTTCGGAGTTGGACGCAGCTGGCGGATTGTGGCCTCCTTGCCATTATGTGTCTGGCCTAATTATCACTACCCCCTCCTTCCCTACCAGCATATCTGCAGCCTCCTTTGCCTTAATCCACTTCTGCAACACTTCTCTCCTACTCTACTTTTCCCTCCCCTGGTCTCATCTCACCTCCTCCTCTCAGTCTCTCATCCACCTTGCCTCTAATCCTCACCCCTCCCTCCCTCCCACCCTCCCTCCCTCTCAACCTCTTCTCTCTCAACCCTCCTCTCCTCTTCTGCATGTTCAGCAAGATTGGAGACCAGTGGGAGCTTCTCCATCTCATCCCATTGCTCTCTTTACAGTCCCTAAAAAAGGAAATGGTGACAGGAGGCACAGGGATCTTTATCAGACTGGAAGCTAACATGCACTCACAATATACAGGACACACTCATTAAAATAAAAGCTCTGCCAATATCAAACAGGAAGATAAAGGGTTAGCGGCAAAGAGCTTTTTGCATGGGCGCAGAACAACAAATGAGCGTGTGATTGGTGTATGAGCGATCAAACAGGTGCTCACATGTGCTTTTTTTTTTACCCCCTAGGTGAGAAGCCATACAAGTGCTCGTGGGAGGGCTGCGAGTGGCGATTTGCCCGGAGCGACGAGCTGACGAGGCACTACCGCAAACACACCGGCGCCAAGCCTTTTAAGTGCAACCACTGTGACAGGTCTGTCAAAACACGGCTCTCCCTCCTTCCCCGTGTCTTATATGTTTTTCTTCGCCTTTTTATCCGAGCGCTATTTGAAGTACTTCCACAAGCACAGCAGGCTGTGTTTTAACATTGTGTTTGGTGTAGTGAAGACAAGATGCTGGTTACACACCCCGAAATGTGTTTTGGTACTGACCCAGTTTAAAAGTGTGTTGGCAGGATTACTAATGTGCGCTCCAAGACCCAACTCGCTCACTGTTTGAGCGAGTTGAGCTCAGTGTTTCAGCTCTAGACCCACATTACGGACGGTGCAGCATATTAATAGTAAATCTACACACATGATGATAGATAGTCTTGATTTGGATTCAGAGCGGGACAGAGATGTAAAATGAGTTTCACTAGCAATGAAACACCTAACAACCTGGAATATTAATTTAATTTGCAGGGTATTGAGTAAATAAATACTGGCTTTATTATCAGAAACACTCGCAATAAAGAAAAGATAGACACAGCCTTTGAGGGTGAAGCTGGTGCTATAGTCCATTCAATCTGTGCTCTTTTTTTGCCCAGCAGGGGGTCACTCATCTGACTGTACAGAAATCTGGCAAATTATCCACATTTCTCATTTCTTACACACTTAGGTTAGGGTCTCGATTGTTAGCTTAGAGTTTTATTTAATACATGATGAAAATGTACTTAAAGGTACATGAGGCTATGCCGGGTAAAACTTGAGTCTTCAAGTGTGGACCTCACTGACCATCGGGTGATGTCATGTCTATCTTTTATATACAGTCATTAATCTCAGCAGTCACTGACTTTAGTTTAAACAGTGTAAATTGGTTGAATTTGTTGATTTTTAGACATTTACAGGAGGGAAATGTATTTTGGGAATTGCTGAAGCCACCATAACCCTAAATACAGGTGTAAGTGTGTGTGTGGGTTACTGGAAATAAAGCCCCAGGCTGGCCCAGTGATTGGGCAGGCTTTCCGGTGAACTCGATAATCCCTGTCACCTGAAAAGTGCTTGTGCAGAGCAAGCTGAGCATCCGAGAAGTTTACCACACGAAAACAAAAACAACTAATGAATTAAAAATTTGTAGTTAATTAACTTTAACTAATAGTTATTTTAGCAATAAACAGAAAAAAAATATATAAATCAATAGTAAAGTCCTAATTTATTGTTTATTTATGTAATTAGGAATCCAAACAATCACAGGACCTCTAAAGAACAGGCACTTGGAGAAAGGGGAGAGGAAAACCACCATTTTAATAGGAAGAAACCTCCAACAGAACTATGCTCATGGAGCACCCATGCTCTCCAACTGGTTGGGGGTTAGGGGAAAGAGAAGAGAGCAGAGAGAGCCAGAACAAAAGGGAAAAAAATTGATTGAATCTTTAAATAACATTTTTTAAATGTGCACATTTAGTGTTGCAAATGAGTGTGTTTTAAACCAAATCGCAACCTTTTCCTAAAGGTTTGATGCTTAAATACACAAACTACAGTCTCCAGGTGATTTATAACCTAACAACTTCCTGCATATACTGCTTTTAACAAGTATTTTCAATAACAGTTTGATAATAAACAGATAATGCTCCCATATTGTTTATAAACCTATAATAGAAACAGTTGTGAAACATTAACGTTAAATATTTGCTTTTTTGTTCGTTAACATTTTAACAATAATTGTTTTTTTATGATAGTTGTGATGGACTATTACCATTAAACACTTTGCAGATCATAGATAATGTTTTGTTTGCTGTTTTAAATCAAACATCATATGAATCTCAAAGTCATGCACTTTTACACCCTTGACTGTCCCTGGAAAGAGGTGATCTGTTATAATTTGACTGTGACTCTTCCTAATTAGGCACCTTGGCTTCTGTTTAATTATGAAGCAAAGGGAAATGGCTCCTTAAATCTGGTTCCACTGACCAAAAAAACCCCAAACATTTAAAGGCAATTATTCACTTTTTAAATGATCAGCTTGCTGCCGACACAAAAATCTTTACTCCTATTTTAATTACACCCTGCTGTCTGTCTTTGATCTGGCCCTCACTGACACCTCTGGGATCTCTGAGCAATATTGTCTACAGGAGCTACCACAATGCAGCAAGGCATCCCATGATTAAAAGGGTCCTTTTAAAGGGTTTCATCACACACGAAAAAGGAAATTTAAAAGGTTCTTTTTGTTATTGCGCTACAGAAGAAAAACTTTTAATATATATATAGTAGTACCTGCAAGATAAATACCACCTTAAAATGTGCTTCCTCTGCTATACAGAGGCTTTTTGGTGACTTTTGTAGCTTTCTTTTGTATATATGTCCTTGGGTATGTGAGTGAGAACATGCAGTTATATTTTATGGTAGTAAACCATTTTATGGAGATCCTAGCAGAAACACCAAAATAGCTCTATAATGGCAACCAAACAGCAGTATTATCCTGTAAAGCTCGTATTTCACAGTACAGCGCTGGATTGTTTTTACATTAAAAAGGAACTGCTGTCGTAGTTACAACAGGCACACTGTAAAATAACATTTTAATCCTGCTTAAGCTTCTCTCCAGTGCCTTATTGTAATTTAACAGGAAAGTTTCTTTTATTTGCCATTAACATACGGATATGTTTTCTATAAAATACTTTTATTTACTTTTACTTACGTGCTTACTTAAATTTATCTTCATATTTACTTGTTTTGAACTTACATTTACTTGCATGTTTTACTTACATTTGTTGCCATTCCTTCATTTGTTTCACTTACATTTGTCTTCACCCAAATTATTCTTGTAATTGTATCTTTTACATTGTGCTGACAGCCTTGTTTTAATCAATCATTTTCTTCTTTTTCTGGAAATTACATGCAACGGCATTTAATTATTCATGGAGCTAGAAATTATAGAATAAAGATGTCATCTATTGTCAAAAACCGCTGTGAGCAAAACACAGTGTGTGTCTTTTAAAGGACAGTGCAGTCTTTTTTGACAGTTTCAAAACTGATCACAGTGCAGGGTGTTATTGAATATATGACTTCTTGAATCATGTATAGGTTCATTATGAAAGGACAAAGAGAAATTCCCTCCTCACCTAAGGTACTTTGCCTTGATGCCTATTGAAAAGTGTGTATGCATATGTGTGTGTGTGTGTCAAGGGGCAGAGGGCCATGCAGTGTCAACTTAATCAGGTCTCAGCTGGAGAGACTGTAAATACAGTATCCCTCCCCCTTGATTTCCCACCTCCCCCCGCTACCAGACCCCCCTACAGGCACATCCCTAATTTGGGCCCACCTCTGTCATGTGTCACAGGATGTCCAACCCCTCCAGCCTAACACACACACACAAGTGCACACACACCCTGCTGAGATGAAGGAAGAGGGGAAACAGGGGAGACAGAATAAAAGTCAGGGTGGAAGATTGAGGATGGGGGAAGTTGGGGGACGAGGGAAGGAGGAGGCAGACCTACGGTGTGCCAGCTGGTGTCGTGCCCCCGAGTCGTGACTCATACTTTACCATCTGTCTCAGCAAACGCACTCACAGTGACACACACACACACATACACACACACAGAACACCCATGAATGTCTTCTGAGCCGTTCATTTATCCCACATGTGTTTGTACGGGTGCACACACTTGTGCGCACAAAGACAGTAACACACACACAGGTATGACAGTAAGACGGATGACTGGTGGCTCATCACATGTGACTCCCTCTCTTGGCCAAACACTGATTCATCAAGACGTGTTAGACAGTTCCCTCTGTCTCAGTGGAAAGAGCCAATCTGAAACCTGTGTCAAAAAAAAAACAAGGTAGGAAAGAAACATCTTCTAGAAATTCATGACATGAAGGCATGAAGTGAAAAATGTTAGATTCTGTGTTCAAAGAAGACTATGGTATGTTACGATTGAGCTATAAAAGTTCTTAAATTAACAGTCAAGGTTAAGTTACCTCACATCCATGGCTAAATATCATATACCTCAAAAGGCTTCTGACTAATATTTAGAGGCGACGTCTCTAATGGCAAATAGGAATCACACTGCATAATCTTTGGGAAAACTGCCCTGCTTCTTACTGGATTTATTACCTCAGTAAACACTTCTTTCATGTGTTTGTAGTCTCTAGTATCAAGTCTTATTCTGGACAGCATTGTTCTCATTTTTAACTCATTTGGTCATAGAGCCGATGGGCTTGTGCAATGATGAGGCATCCATCATTTATCTGTACCTGTGTTCAAAACAATTGCTAATTCTCCTAGAGAGGTGTCAGATTTTAGATGATCATTGTGTGCATGTTTTTCTTTACCAAGGCAGAGGTGGACAATTAATTTCCCCAGTGGGCCACATTAGAAACTGGGACTGTTGTGGAGGGCCACACCAATAACCTGAACTCAGTCTTACTCAGTATTAATTTTATTCCTTTATAAGCTTGTGGGCACGACCCTCCACAACAGTCCCTGGTTCTCACGTAGCCTCTCTGGAAAATTAATTGCCCACCCTGATTGAAGGGGCCTCACCCAAATTCTTCTCAAGGTCAAGGTCATATTGGTTGTTTTATGAGCACTTTCATTTTTAGAATGATCACTACTAGGGTATTCGTCAGATTTTTGTGAACTTGTCTGGACTGCTCATCTAAGACGAGTGTAAGCATTAGAAACTGGGACTGTTGTGGAGGCCCGCACCAATGAGCTGAACAAAATTCTGCTCCACATTAAATTTATCTCTCTAAAAACCTATTGGTGTGGTCTGGCCCTCCACAACAGTCCTAGTTTCTCATGTGGCCCTTTGGGAAAGTTAACTGGCCACCCCTGACCTAAGGATTCTTAATCCAAATCATGCTCATCATTGAGGTCATATTGGCCATTATACGGGAACTGTTTATCAGTTGATTTTAATTCTCATTAGTTTGTGTAAGCCAACCAATAGCAACAAAACAAGAAGAGCTCCTGCCACGTGGATATTCTGATTTTAATTATGGTTCCAGGCTATTCTTTAAGATGTAGCTACCTTCTGATTGACAACTTGTTAATGAATGGTCATGTAGTGGTTTTTCAGTCAGATCCAGCCCATGCTTGTGATGTTTCTTCAACTGGTTGCACCCTGTCTGATATGTAGATGGTGTCAAAATGCTGTATAAATAAGAGTGTATTAGCTATGAAACACTTTCAATATTTTCCTTGAACCTTTAGTGTCATACTCATCTGTAACTGCTGGGAGTGATGCACTTTAACACTAGCGTGCTGTGGTTATTTATTCTGTCATAACAAAGGGACATAAAACAGCAGCTATTTTCTTAAACTTAGCCTTTTTTCTGTTTAGAGACACTTCCTAAAGCATTAGAAGCTTTGGAAAATACTGCAAATTGGAAGCTGTTTGTTTCTTTTTTCTGCACAGCATTAGTAAATTTATCCACTTTACTCAACTCTAAACCAGCCTCCGCCTCCATCTAAAATATTTCTCACACACTAATCAGCAAAACATCCAACTTCCAATTATCTAAAAGAAAGCAACACTTTCTTTTTGGAAAGCACTGCTTCTCTGGGGAACGGAGCTGTAGTGTTGGTTCAGCAAGCATGCCATAGAAACGCTGTTGATCTGGAGATGAAAAAGTAGGTCTCATAATGGCTGCATCTGTATGTAAGCAAGTGTGGCATAAACAAAACACCAGCTGAAAGCATATATTATGTCAGTTTGTGGCAATCAGGTTGAAATAATCATTAGTAAAAATTATTTTTAAAACCCTCTCGGAAAATAAAAAAATAGGCCGATGTACTTCCAGAGCAATTCCATTTTTCACTGTGCAGCTACGCCCCAGCAATTCTGCAAGCCTGATTTCAGATGAGAGGCTTTGATTCATCTAATTTAGCTATCGTTTTACAGCACATGTTTTGCATGCTGCTCCTCCTCCCCACCACTACCACCACCACACTGTTTCAACAGATCCATCTGCGGGCTCTCTAGTTATTCATGCCGCAGCTGAAGTCATTAGGAGTGCTGCTGAAAATGCTGATTATGAATTAGTTACACATATACTAATTGCGTGTGCATTAGTGGCTCAGCACTCACTAGCTAACAGCAACATTTAGCTCAATCGACAAAACAAACTTCTTCCCCTTGCATTGGTAACGAGCTAACAAGCTGTTCTCTGTTTCTCTCTCTTTGGTTGCAGGTGTTTCTCGCGGTCGGATCACTTGGCGCTACACATGAAGAGGCACATCTGAGAGATTCGGGAGAGGTCAGCGGGAGAGTGGATGGAAGAGAGAGGAAAAGGATGGAGGCAGAGTGGAAGAAAGAGAGGGAACGTCTGCAGAAAAATAACACCTTGGATTTCAGAGAGAGAGAGCAGGACGGATTGAAAAAAAAAAAGAAAAAAAGAAAACACAAGATCTGGTCTTTCTCGACTGGAGAAATTGAAACCACACAGGGACTACAGACAGAAATACAGGCAGACAGACAAACTGATCCTAAGTGGCTCTGTCAATCTGTGCACGACCAGTTGGTCCATGATTCCACGGTGACACATCTTCACCTCACAACCATCCCCCCAACTCCCCTGTGTCGTTGTGTGGACTATACAGACGCTCCATCCCACCCTTCATATGTGTCTTAGAGGGGATGTGACATGACGAGCGGCGGGCCACGTGCCTGTAGTTGGCAGCTTTTTATTTCTCACCCTTTGCAGTCTTTGCCTTGCTGTGGTCCCTCTGTGAAATGCTTCCAGCCCTGTTCATGCAGCAGTGCTCCACATGCCAGCTAGGACATCAATGCCAAACTGGACCAGTTGTACTGTAACTCTGGTGTACTGCGAGGAGTACTACTGTTACAACACATATTATTGAAAAGAAGAGTTCATTCATTGTCAATAGCAGTTCAGCCAAGCAAGCGCAAAGGCTGACTTTCACTCCCTCAATACTCGCCACACCCTTTAGAATTCACCATTTCTTATATATCCAACAGATATTTGACAGTTTTCATCAAGCGTCTGTCTTATCTGCCAACTGAATCCATTCATAAATCCCTATGACTTCATGGCATATGAGCACTTGCTTGAATGGAGCGTTCCATTAGATTTCGAAGACTTGAAAATGGGAGTGTGTCCCACTGATGTGCTGTGAAGACTGACTGAGGTCATGTAGGCGGTTAGCTTGCTCTATGAACTTCCTTTTACCGGTTACGACTAGGCAAGGCTAACTTACCTACACTGGGAAAGACTCCTAGAACATCAGCTGGAACTGAGTGGTTCAAGAGATGCGAGATGGCTCTTAGGAGTGTTTTTCCTCTCTGGGATCTTAGCTCTAATGAGTTGTTGTCAAAAAACTGTTGCACAATTGACTCTGTTGGCAAACTTTTGTAAAAATGTATCCACTGTCTTGAACCGGGAATTAATTAGGGACTCAACAAACGCTGGCTTTCACGTGCCAAATGAGCGTGGACAGCCAAATGCACAAGTTGAAGCAGCTAGCTAGCTGTGATAGCACACCGAACACAAATGAAAATCACTATGTACGTAAAGGCTATTTTATTTCTAGGAAATAGTTCTCCTGTTTTTTTGAAGAAGAAAAAAAAAAACAGTTAAAAAAGACAGCGTTGGAGAATTCACTGGCAGCCAAAAAACAATTAAACAAAAAAAAAACAACCTCTGCAGTAGATGCCCAAAATGATCTCTTTGCACTTGAGAGTGATTGGCAACTAACTAGCCACTAGGTTCTGTCCTTTTCATACCATCCTTGCATACTACTTTTTCCAATTTAGCAGCTCTTAGCCTTTTCAGAAACAAATAATTTTTAAAAAAGCACCATTTAACAGCTCTTTAAACATGGCCCTATGCAGAACAAAGGACATTCCCGATCAACATGTAGGACTGAATGCAGATTTCTACTCTGCCAGAAATAGAAGAACTTTTTGGAAGAAACAAATTTAACAAACTGGGTGGCTCTTCTCAGAGCAAATCAGCGTGAATGTATTATTGCAGGTCTAAACATGTTGCTGGGCCCAGAGGTGTGGTTGGTAAGATCATACAAGGCACCATTTGTATTTATACTTTTTTACTGTTAAAATGAACAATGGGATTTGGAAAACTAGCTAGTCACACCTGGTAACTTTTACTGGACCACTAAGAGGTCATGAGTATGGATTTCCAGTGGGTCTGGAGTGTGTTAGGGGAGGATCGGATCTGCTCAGTCAGCAATGATAACTGCCCCATCAGCTCCACTGCAGTGGAGTGAAACCCACACGCACAAAGAGACACATACATTCACTCTGAGAAAACTGGAATTATCATCTGTCCTGTGTGACCTGACTTTACTTAGATACAACCAAGACTGATAAAAAGGTCATAATTGTCTTCGCGTCGCAGATGAAGGTAAACACAGAAGAGAGCTTGAACAAAAGTAGACTGTGAAGATACTGACGAAACTTTACTGAGGACAGTTGCGTCAAAGCGTAAATTCTTTATTTTAAGACTTTAATTTGTGTGCTTCGCTTTGAAGCAAAAGTTCACCTGCATCTGTTTGCATTTTGGAACAAAAGACACAACATTTACTTTACTCTGTTACACCGGAGGTACATAACAGTTTGCGCATTAGTGCAGTCTAGCTCAATATTTTCTAGACACGATATAGTAGTGGCTCTGAAGGTAGATACAGCGTCAATAACTCCTTCACGTAGTGAACTTATTCTAAATGTGGAAGCAAGTCTGACGTTTATTTGTTCTTGAGCAAATACCTGTCAGATAACTTGTTTTTTCTCTCTCCTGTCTTTACAAGGTCCATTTGCAAAGACAAAAGAGACTGACCACTTAGTTTAAAGGAGGCCAAATTTTTTCGCAGGCCTTCCAGATTGAAACTATGAGCGTGGACAGCCAAATGCAACTAGTATTTAGCTGTGTCTCAACTTGCATACTTCCATACTTGCTATTGCAGGTGTGTTCCTTGAGGAAAATCCATTAGCTAAGTGAGGCATGGTAAAATGCTGCTATCCACTTGTTAAGTCCGACATTATTAGCCATTTCCAGGTCTAAATGCTGCTTCCGTTTGCAAAACATCAAGGCACCTTTAAAACAGTTGAAATTCTTTCAGCTCAAATAAAAACAATTACTATGGCTTTCTTTCAAGTGTAACAATAAAGATTCATGTCCAGCCATCCATGAAACGGAGTTAGTAACTTTAGCAGGGTTAGATGTTAGCAGGAAGTTAGCGGACTACATATAACATGCTCTAACTGAAGTATTCTAAAAATAAATAAATAAATAAAAAGACAATAATGCTATACCTTTGGACAACAACAAAGATGGAACACTAAATAGTAGCAATGTTTGGAGAGTTAGAGATATTTGACTAATGGGATAAATGGATATTTGCACACAATAAGTGCTACCTGGTGGCTAGCTGCAGAGCTAAAGCTAATGTAAACACAATAGCACAGGGAAGATGATGGATTTAAACTGTTCTCCGTGTCGAGGAAGAAGGCGAGAAGCTGTCCACAGCTCAAGGTTAGTTATGTTTTTGCTGTGCGGTTTAGCTAAAAAAAAAAAGAAAAAGAAAAATCTTGGTCCTAAGCTTATTATAGTCACTGAAATCTGAGCTAGCCTAAGAGTGATTCTTTGGGTTATAGTGCACATAATGAGCTTTTAAAAACTGAGCTTAAAGACGTGATGCACATGAATATTTCTAATAAAAAAAAAATTTAAAAACAGCTTTTTTCTATTAACTAAAACACAGCACAAAGCATTACAGCCTCAGACAATGCAGTAAATGCTTGGACCTGGAGACAGGGTTGATACGTCGTCACTTAACTAGCAGATTGTCAATTTATCTTCCTGCATGGAAAA